CATGCATGCATGCAAACATGCATACATGCATACATGCATACATGCATACGTACATACAAATATTTACAAACAAACATACATACATACATACATAAATAAATAAATATATATATATATATATGTTCATGTTTGATTATATAGGCATATCTGTATATATGCACACTTACATACATACTTATTTATTTTTGCATTCACCACAAACTCATAATGAGAAAGCAAGGGTGGACCTGTCAATGACAGGCGCACATGCCTGGGTACCACTTGCCAGTGAGTATCGACTTGAAGACGGAGTTGGTGAAGATTCGCTGAAAAGTTGCGAAATAGGGTGGCTAAATAAACCTCTTGCTGACCTGCATCCGAGTTTTCTCCAAGGCCAAAGATAATACATGATGAAGGTCTGCACCTTTCATTCCTAGACATGAGCTATCGTACCGGCCTCAACAATGAGGATAGGGCTTGGAGGTATATGATACTAGAAATGTAAGAAGGGGCCAAAATAGGGTTGGTATATTTTTTAAGGCCCTTCGTTTACACCCCAATTCCATGCACCGTAGCTCGACACCCTCAAGCCGCTCGGCCTATGAGCATTTGAAAGCCTCCACGGCGAACCCTGGCTTCCGTCTTAACGGTTTGGGGTTTAGGGTTTAGGGTATCATTTTCGTAGCTACTTAGTAGATATTTGCGCCTCAAAGTATATACTATACTATTACTTGGACCATGTGGGTGACGTGAGGCTGTTGAGATGTGCAAGCTCCCAATTTCAAGGGCGACCGTATCCCCAACCCGCATCGGAAATTCCAAAGTGGCCAAGGCTACGATGCCGAGGAAAGCATCGACCGACTTTGTCGAGATGTGTTCACGGTTGTGTCTGTGTTTGTGTGTGTGTGTATGTAAGTTTGTTTGTTTGTTTGTTTGTGTGTGTGTGTGCGCGTGTGCGCGTGTGTGCGCAAGTGTGGGCGTGTCTGTGTGTCTGTGTGTCTGCATGCGTGCGTGCGTGTGTGTGTGTGTGTCTCTGTGTCTCGTTATGTGCCTGTGTGTGTGTGTACATGCGCGTGCGCGTGTGTGTGTGTGTGCGCAGGCCTGTTTTTCCTTCTCCTGGCCCTAACAGATCTGGCACAATCACACGGACAACAAATCCGAAAGCCACTGCCCTGGCCCCAAGTCTTGATTCCCTAAACGCTGTTACTACCCTTAAACCTTAACCTTAAACCCTAAGCCATAAATCCGCAAGTTCCCACATCCTAAACCCTCGCACAAACTGCCTGCCTAAACCATTAAGCAGCCCCGGTGGTAGCCCGAAAAGTTCGGAAGCCATGCTTGCTGGATCTATTTGGCAGGCGACGGTGGCGGAGCTCCGGCATATATGATGGCCAGTTTGGGCATCTCAAGCGAAAGCTGCAAACAACTAAGAGTTCCTATTTTGCTGCTTCGATGATCAGGATCTGACTTATTGGCACCTTTTGACTTGTCTTGTGCTGACAGGTCACAAGATGTCCCGGCCATTGCCCTCTTAGGGCTCGGCATGGCTTGGGTTTAGGGTTTACAAGCTCTTGGTACTGATAGTACTCATAATAAAGCTAGAAGTAATTGTCATAATGATAACAGCCATAAGAACATTAATAATAGTAATTATTATTATTAATAGTACTATTATTATTATTATTATAAGGATGCCTACGCACTTTCTCCGCGCTTTTCAAGTGCCACAGGCTCGCGAAACACACCTCTATTAATTGCAACGACAATGATGCGGTGCTTGATTCAAAGAACAACTTGGCACGGGACGTTTACATACCACAAGTTGCACCAGCTTAGCCAGCAAGAACATAAACACGTCACGTGTTTGTTGACAGAACGCCCTAGACCATAAACTCGATTCGCCAACGCTAAACCCCAAAGCCCCCCGCCCCTTGAACCCAACCTGGAACTCCTAAACCCCGATACCCTGGCCCCGCTATGACGCCTACACCCTGAAAGCCGTAAGCCAGAAACCCAAGGCATACCCGACAGCATTGAGCGATCATGAAGCTTGGGATCCTTCTAGGCTTGTGGGGCTTTGGGTCTATAATATGATTTCCGAAAATAGAGGACCCTAATGACCCTAATATAGTACCCTATATAGTAGGATCCTTTAAAATAAGGAGCCCAAAATTTTCGGAATCTCCCATATTATAATTCAAAGGTTTGGCCTCGGGTTGTTCTCGGGGGGTTTGGGCTTCAGGGCCTGGCCTTCACGGAAAAACCCCGAGCTCCTCACGCCAGGTGCAGTAACAGAGGTGAGACGGCAGACCCCCTGGCCACGAATGCGCGCACGCGCGAGGCAAGGAAGTGCCTAGGTGAAGGGTGTTTGCGTCTCAAATGACTCATTAATGCTTGAGTGTGTGTGTGTGTGTGTATGTGCATATAAATAAATAAATAAAAATAAATATATATATATATATGTGTGTGTGTGTATACATATATATATATATATATACACGTCTGTGTGTAAAAATACTTATACATGTTTGTAAAAACAAACATATATACATGTAACTGCATGCATAT